GTGCCTGGTGCGCTCAGTCCGGTGCCTGGTGCGCTCAGTCCGGTGCCCGAGCCTGGGCAGGGGCGCTGAGCGCACAGCCCTCTCCGATGCCGGTGCCCGGTGCGCTCAGCCCGCTGGCACCCGGCGCCCTCGGAGGGCACCGTCCCGCCTTAGCCCCCGCTGCGCCGGCGACAGCGAGCGCACGGCGGCCTCATGCCGGTGGGGGCGCGGACGGGGCGGGGCGGGGGCGCTGCGCTCCGGGCTCCCTGCGCTGCGCTGCGCTCCCGGCCGCTCGCGGGGAGGAATGAGCCCTGCGCGCCACGGAGCCTTATCCCGGCCCGGCGGCTCCTCCCCTTGCCGCGGGGCCGCCGCTTAACCCTTGAAGGGCCGGGCTCCGCCCCGCCCCGCCCCACCGGGGGCAGCCCAAGGGCTCTGGGCTCCAGATGCCAACAAAGGGCGGGGAGCGGGGCAGCCAGTGCCCCTTGCAACAGGCGAGATCGGGGGGGCAGGACACCGCCCCCCAGCCCCTCCCCATCCTTGGGGGGGCATCACCGCGGGGCAGATGGGAGCCGGCGCTCCCACAGGGAAAAGGCCCCACGTCCCATTCCCCACCCCCCTGAGCCAGCCAGTCCCCTGCTCTGGGTGGGCTCAGAGCCAGCGCCCCACAGAGGGGAAAGGCCCCGTGCCCCATTCCCTGCCCCCCTGAGCCAGCCATCCTGGGGTCGGGCTGGCTCACCGTCTAGCAGGGCAAGGGAGGGGGGGCTGAAGGCGGGGCTTAAGGTGGGAAGTGGGAGTAGCCAAGAGAGGGATTCCCCCCCCCCGTCCAACCCCTCCCTTGCTCTGGGTCTCTGACGGGCACATCTGGGAGCAGAGCTGGGTGGGAGGGGGAGGAGAAGCCGCTGCCAGAGAACTGGGAATGGGCACCAGCTGGTGCTGGCGTTGCCAGGGACTCATCTGCCAACAGGCAACACGCTCCCAGGAAACCAACCAGCAACTCTGGCCCTGTGCCCACCCTGCCCCCCTTCTCCACTCATCGTGCCATGTCGGGGCAGTTCTGGAGCCATATGCCCAGCGGAAAGTAGAGGGATCCATGGCCAGGGGCACCTACCAGGATTCACACTCCCAGGCCCCCAGTGGGGTCCATGCCCTGTGGCACCAGCACCAGGATTCACAGTCCCTGCCCCCCCTCCAGCCCAGCAGTCTATGCCCCAGGGGCGGGGGTTGATGGCCCATGAGCTGTGCCCTGTGGCTGGCAGGGCTGTGTGCCTCGCCGCCCATGGCTATGTTGCCCAGGGCTGGGCAGGGGGGCGGGGGGCTGGGTTGGTGGGCTATGCCAGGCTGCTGCAGCACTAGCTGGCGCAGGATTTGTTTGCTGCACTGCCTCCGGCGCATCTCCCGGGGAGCGAAATATCACAAGATGGAGAGACAGACGCTGCGGGTGCGGGTGGGCGGTGGGCGCTGACTCAGGGGGCTGTCATCCGCTGTTGGCCATGTGCTCCGTGCCCGAGGGGGACCCACAATGCACCAGGGGCCCAAGCAGGGATGGGCCATGCAGAGGCTGGGTGCTTCCCAATGCCCTCCATGCCCCCTTTTCCAGCATACCCAATGTTCCACTGTGCCCCCATCCCTAGAGCTACCCACCCCCTCCAGCATACCCAACTCCCCACTGTGCCACCCCCTCCAGCATACCCAACCTCCACTGTGCCCCCCACCCCACATAGCTACCCACCCTCTCCACACACCCCCATTCCATGTCTGGCCCCCAATGGGTTATTTGTCTGTGAGAGATAAAATCCCCTTGCTTCCCAGCATCCTTTGGGAGCCTTGTGTGGGGCAGAGATGTCCTCACCCCCACATGCAGAGCCTCATGCTGTCTTCCTCCTGCCCCCCAGAGGGGAGCAGGCTGTGGAGCTGGGCACCCCATGGGCAAGGTGGGGAGTATGTGGTGGTGGGGACCCGCAGCCTCTGGCACTGTAGCCACTCCCCTGGCACCAGGGCAGGTATGGTCTCTGCATGGATGGGAAAGGCCCAAGTGCAATATCCTGGGGATAGCTCAGTGGTTTGAGCATTGGCCTATTAAACCCAGGGTTGTGAGTTCAATCCTCAAGGGGGCTATTTAGGGAACCAGGGTAAAAATCTGTCTGGGGATTGGTCCTGCTTTGAGCAGGGGGTTGGACTAGATGACCTCCTGAGGTCCCTTCCAACCCTGGTATTCTATGATTCTGTGATCATGGGGTGAGGGATAATGCCCCTGAGAGGATCCATGGCACTGACCTGTGAACCCTGTGTCAACATGAGATGAGCTGTCCCCCAGTACCTGAGCTGGACACAGACAGACAGACAGACATGTATGGGATAGATCAATATAGATAGAGGTGGTATAAGGGGAAGAGGTGAATGCTACAGTTAGAAGTTCATATAGAAAGACAGCTAGACAGGTGTGTATGGGGTAGGTAGATTCATTGTCGTGTTTGAGATGGATAGATGTGCACTTGACTCCTAGGTGGATAGAAAGATCGATTGATGGATAGCTATGGAGATAGATGGATCGGTGGACTGATACTGCACATGATGCTCTCTAACACCATACACTCACTTAACCTTCATTAACCCCACAGCTCCCACCTCACTGCCGACGTACACAACTCAGCCCTAAAATGAGGCAGATCAGATCTCCCCAGATGCACATGCACCACTCCTGTGATCACACACATGGGGGGCAGGGAGAGGGGCTCACATACACCCCCAGAGGGGCACAGCCCCCCAGGGCACCTCCTGTCACAATCACAGCTCTGCCAAGCTGCTTCAGCCAACCCCTTCGCCATTCAGTACAGCGACACCTAGCCCAGTGACCACAGCCGGAGTGCATGCAGAGAATTGCCAGTGACTCCAGCTGGCTCCAGGGGTCAGAGTTATGGTTGCAGGGGCGTTTACCTTCACACTGTAGCTGCGGGTTTTCTGAGATTTAAGTTTAGCTGAACTTGAAGTTCTGCAAAGGCATGAGATAGCACCGGGCATGCGTCACTCTGCATTAATGAAGAGTTTTGCTATTTAATAGATAGGCAGGCAGACAGTCGTGGAGCACCAGCGCTGCTGTAGTTAAGATTAAGACCAGCATTCTATTTACAGCTCAACATTTGTAAGTGCTCTGAGGGCCACACATCCTCAGATTGCCTCGAAATTTGGTGTCCCCCTGGGGTGGGGGTGGTGCAGAGTTCAGTTCCTGAGCCAAATTGGGGGTTATTTCAGACTCAGAGAGTCCAAACCCAGAAGGGACCACCGTGATCATCTAGTCTGACCTCCTGGATAACACAGGCCAGGGAGCTTCCCAAAATCATTCCTAGAGCAGAGCTTATAGGGAAACAGCCCATCTTGACTTAAAAATTGTCAGCGATGGAGAATCCACCAGGAGCCTTGCTAAATTGTTCCAATGGGTAATTACCCTCCCTGTTAAACATTTACACCTTGTTTCCAGCCTGAATTTGTCTAGTTTCAACTTCCAGCCATTGGATTATCTCAGTCCTTTCTCTGCTAGATTGAAGAGCTCATTGTTAAATATTTGTTCCCCATGTAGATACTTATAGACTGTGATCAAGTCGCCCCTTCACCTTCTCTTTGTTAAACTATATTGAACTCCTTCAGTCTACCACTATACAATTTCTTTTCTTTTCTTTTCTTTTCTTTTCTTTTCTTTTCTTTTCAAGTTTTTGTTATTTTTTAGAAAAATGTATAGAAAAAACAAACATCACAAAACATACATAAACTTCTCATACTATATTAACCACTTGCTACCTAACTGTTGTGATACAGCAGACATTTAATAAGGCAAAAACAACAAGGAGTCTGGTGGCACCTTAAAGACTAACAGATTTATTTGGGCATAAGCTTTCGCGGGTAAAAACCTCACTTCTTCAGATGCATAGGTTTTCTATGCCTTTAATAAGGCAGGTTTTAATCCTTTAATCATTCTTGGGGCTCTTCTCTAACCTCTCTCCAATTTCCCAGTGCCTGTTGGAGGTTTGCCATTCCAGGAGAGCCAAGCCCATGGCTGGTTAGTTTAGGAGATCTGAGGAGATCACAAGGCAATGTGGTGGCAGATTGACCCTGGGGGGTCCTGAGATACAGCCCAAAAAAATCTTGTCTTAAAGTTGACATGTTTTGTCAATTTTTTTTTTGTAGGTAGCTGGAGATCAAACCAGAGTTGAGATCATCACACCAGGGTCTCAAATGCTCTAGAGTTACCCCAACTGAGTGCACGGTACCCCCAGCCCTGGGGGGGGGGGAATCAAATTACAATGTTCTGAGTCAAAGGGTTTGGTTCTCCTGCTAGGTGCATGCTTAGCAGGGCTAAGGCCATGTCTACACTTACAAGCGTACAGCGGCACAGCTGCCTGTACCGACACCGCTGTGCCACTGTCAGAGCACTCATGTAGCCGTGTTATGCCAACAGGAGAGAGCTCTCCTGTCGACATCATAAAACCAGCTCAACGAGCAGCAGGAACATTGTTTGCAGGAGAGCATCTCCCGGCGACACAGTGCTGTGCACACGAGTGCTTATGCCGGCAACACTTATGTCGCTCGGGGTGTGTGTGTGTTTTTCACACCCCTGAGCGACAGAAGTTTTGCCGACGTAAATGCTAGTGTAGGCCTGGCCT